CCACATCAGTTGTACTTTTAATTGCAACTAATAATAAGCCACACCACCCACAAGTGCGGGATTTCATGCAACTCACAATGGGATTAAAAGTATGTGCAGGTACGTGATAAATATAATTGTTTTCCTGTTCAGTTCGAACGATGTCCATCTGCGAGTCATATCCGTTACGGACTAACTATGGATCTGATAAAAATATGTGGGGGATATGCGAACACGCAAGAAAAATCATTCGCGTACGAGCTTCTTGATACACCCATATTTTGCATTGATTTATGTTCTAGATAGCAACCAAGCTCACACTAACAGGACAGGAGGAGGGACGGCAATCAGGTTTTGTCAGTATAATAATTTGTAATACAGTCACGTAAATGATTGATTCAAACTTGAGTCGCAGCGGGTGAGCAGCTTTAGAGTAAGCGAATTGTGTTTAGCACTTGTGGAAATAATGGTTGAGCGGCTTTGCGTTAATGGAATTGTGCTGGCGCAGTATTGCCGAGTTCGACAGGAAATCAATCGGAAAAGTATTAAAGACGAAGCTTAGGAACTAAGTGTTCGGTATAAGTGACAAGCCAATATATATAATGATATAGTTAACTGTTAGCCAAACACGTGCTCCTTATCTTTGGCTACAAACATATTATTTTTATGCATGCGTGGCTGGTTGAGAGAATTTCAGAGAAAATCCTCCAATCCGACAGCGATTCACATTTTTAAGGAACAAAATTGTCGCTACCGTGTTTCTTCCAAAGCAAGAGCAAATCAAGAGAGCACAGTGTGTGTTGTCTGTACTAATAACATTGGGAAGGCGCTTTCAATATAGTTTGGTAAATGACTTTTTTTGGGTAAATTAGATAGCAGAAAAATGTTACTGATATTTAGTACACTCATATTTGAGCTGTCAGTCATCAACGTGTAACTACAGTAGACATACTACGTCGTCGGTAAACGGAATAGGCGTAAATCTGAAGCAAGCTATGCAGCACGAAAAATGAAACTTTACTACTTTGGAGACAAGGTAAGGCTACGTAATAGCAATCCATCAGTAAATAGAGGATGAGAAGTGGGCAATTTCAACTAACGGTGGTAAAGTCCCTACGCTATAAGCTACTAGAAAAGAGTGAACTTTCCAATCGACAACAGAATGGCGAAGCGATTGATAAATACAGCATTCCTATGACCGTAGTATATAAGGAAACCACTTCTCTGAGACGAAGTAATGGCGCGCAGGTCAAGAATCACAGGCAAGGCGGAAAATCCAGGAAAACAAGAGTAGAGTGAAGCTAACACAGGCTCTACAGACGTAAGGCAACAAGGCAGTTCGATGTCTAACGAACGCGCTAGAAATGGTTCACGAGTGACAAATGTTGCAGGACCCACGCAGAGAAAAATTGGGAACGTATGGGTTAATGGCCCGATTTTTCAGAGAGATACACCTACCGTCATCACCCAGGTAGAGCGACACAACCACGATTAGGCAAAGCAAGAGCTACCGAACGAATCCTATCCGACCAGAATAGGACAGACAGAAGCGGAGATATGGGGTGAAACATGATGGCTTATGAATGCGGCAATCTGCGTTAGCGAGCGAATTCAGGAAAAAGTGGCACGTCATGGGGTGGAAACTTGACTCATATCTGTGTACATGCGTGTTAGTTAATTACTTTTGGTCGCGTCAATATAAGTTGTGCTTCATAGCCACGTCATTCACCGACCATTTGAATAAATAATATTACTGCTATCTGTTTCTCCGCAGTGACAGTTACATATATTCATACAATAATGAAGCCAGTTTGCGTTGACAAATCGGTGTGTGAAATCATGATGAACGGTAGTTAGGCTTCGTTATTGGGCAACTCTGTTATTGAGTGCAATAAATAGAAATAAAGAAATAAAGGATGAAACTTGCTCTATTAGTTGAAGAACGGTGATCATCGAAAAGGAGGCACAAAGAAACATTTGCATGGGCAATTTCGTAGTGCTGCATATTTTGAACGACCTGCTTGTAACTCATAGGCAAATATCACATAGTATAAGAAAAAACACAAGTGAATACTCATGAGCAAAATTTACAGCTTATTATACCATATCTAGTCTGGCGAAATATGATTGCGTCATTTTCACCTTTCTGAGCAATTCGACCACATACCCAACGTAGCAGTGCAAGAAATCAGACACAAATTGGCATAACAAGCCGGGTCTTAATGGGGCTAACGACATCAGTTCCCCGCATCAAATAGCTTCAGCAAACAATGTATAACAAATGTATACGGGTTAGGAAGAACTGCTTTGCTGATCCCTTGGCTAGTTAGATGAGTTTATCGAAACAATAAACACAAACGGGTTAGAACTTTACGTTGAAATGGAAGGACACATTGTTCAATCCATTGTAATCCTGCAGCACGCGTAGTTACTCAGTACTCACATGTCTCAATAAATAACTCCAAGGTATGTTCCATGAGTGGGATGGGGCCACAATGCTAAGTAACAAAGCTTAAGTGGAGGAGTGTGTCATCCGACCGAGTTATAAATATTGTTACTGTCGGTGCAGAGGCAACCGATTCAGGGACAGCATTCCACGAGTGACAGACGCGGATGGAAAAGAAATTCCTGCGGCAGTCCGGACGACTATACTCTTCTACGAGTTTCATTGAGTGACCTCTAATATTTGTGTTACTGAGGCACACATGATGTGGGTAGTGAAAAATCAACTAGGACGTTATCAGGTCGCCGTCCGCTGAATACTCCTAACCATTTCAGCGTCTGCTCGTATGGGAGATAACACATTTTAATGAAGTACCTGGGTACCCGATGTTGAGGCTGCTCCACTGTATTAGAGTCGTACTTCACTCATGAGTGCCAGCTTTAAACTGATCGTTGAACATTAGGGCTAACAGATGCATCGGGCATTCGAAAAACAGAGATATATACTGGTTCGAATGCCGGTCGCAACAGTCCGACGTGTTGGTTACCAGATTTCGATGCCTTTTTGGATTGTTTTAAACAACCTAAGTCACCTTGAAACAGCACATCTAGACTACATTCGAGGAAAGGTTGCTACAGTACATGCGTTGCGAACCAGTATCAGTAGTTGATCTAGTGTAGTGTGGAGAGTAGTTTGCAAATACTTCCCGCTAAAATGCACTAAATTTTAGATTGCCCAAAAACGTAGCATATTTAGGTCATTCTGAAGCAGACGCTTCTCGTCATTCCAATGAATCATGGAGCAAATCTTGCTGTCGTCGGCAAACAGACATTCCAAGCAAACTATCTGAAACGTCGGCTATGATCATTTGAGAAATATATCCCTTTAAGCCTCCATTGTGCGTTATTGATGATACCAGTGCTTATACTGGCAGGCACATGTTTCGTTTTTAGGTGATCACTTTATACAGAGATGAAGAAGCGCGTGAACATAAAGCTGCCTTTTTGCGCCTCATTCAGCATCGTGAGAACCACACTATATAGTCACACAAAGCTCAATCCTAGCTCCATAGGGTATTCGTCAAAGTAGGCCATATCAGGTTGGTTACTTCTTCCACGCCTACATACCAACGTATATGGACAAGTAACTAGCACAAGCAGAGGAAAATTGGTATAAATAGACATTCATTAAATTTAGACTCAGTCAAACAATCCGCACACGCCCAGCAAACCAATGTATGATATATTTCATCCTTTCGAGAGTCGTCAGCATTGTGTATTCCTTCTGACCGTAGCAGAGCTCGAACCCGCAGCTCGACTGTTAGCAATCTGTGGTTGAGACCACTGCGTTATGGAGGACGGTGACGACCGTGATGCTTGATTTACTAGATGTTAGTCAGCGCCGCACCCTACTTTCACAGAGTGCTTTGTCCGCGGAACTCTTTTCACAATGTGTACGTTTATACCCAATTTGAGTTCTATTCTTCTACGCAACCTTCTTTCTGTGGCAACACATGTTTTTTTAAGTCCTTACCCGAATTATTCTGCCTTTTTCTTCAGAAGCGGGCCTGTAACTGTTTGGTTGTTCCCATGAACCGAGATCATCCAGTCTTTCAATGCAGTTTCTTCTACATCCTTTCAACATCGCCTCCTTTTCTGAGAGCTTGCAGTGCCATGAGCCAAGTTTTGCTGGAATTGCTTTTGACTGACAATGAAAATGTCTAAGGTAGGAGTGGGAAGTGTAAATCACGCGACATCTGGACCTGCTAGGTTACTGGTGGATATGTGTTAATTTGTCCAAAATATCCAACTTTTCTGTCAAGGACAAATCCTTTCTGTTACTTGGCATACTTGTGCGTAACCAATAGAGTAGTGACAAAGGGGGATCGGAAAGTTTATCCCACTTTGCTCAGTTCTCGAGTTTTGCATAGGGCCGACGGGTTCTGATCAGTCAATATTGCCGCCGCCATCTTTGTTGTCCTTTACTCGATCGGACCAGCTAACTGTGGAGCAGTTGTAATAAAGGAGCCAAGAAGAGGGCATAGCATATTCAAAGCGGCAAAAGCACAGCCCACGCAGCTGGGCACCTAAACAGTGGGCGAAAATATAGCCTATTTATAAGAAAAGAATTTGTATTTTGAAAACGGGGCAGTAAAACGAGGCGGGTTATAAGCCGGGTGGATAATAACGCGGGTATGACTGTGATTACAAACCTGGGGTGCCAGAAACATTTATGTAGGAAATCGTAAAAGTGAGCAGGACGAATAGGGGTGAGTGCAGCCAGCTCATAAAACAATGGGGAGTGCTTGAGTTTACTTACCACCGTTTTAACAGACTATAAGATCACAAAATATTGTGACATAGAAACAGTTCTGTTAAGCGCTTTACCAGTCCGTTTTGGTAAATCCGCTTCTTTTATTCATTCCTACGATAATTTAAAGAAGAGGCATCGAACACCTTGTTTATGAGAAAGCAATTTGTTTATGCTTCGCTTGATAGCAGGAATTTGATTAAAAGTGCATCGAAGTAGTGCAGTTCATCAAAATATGCGACGCAAATACCGGCACGTTAGTGATTCCTCACCGCTTACCTGAGCCACCGTGTCCGCCAGCGTAACCGTGACTTGTACGTTGCATCTGTGGGGGAGAATCCAGTCGCATCCCCATCGATGCAGGCCCCGAAAGAGTGGAGCGCGTTCCGCTTGATGCCCGATGTTGGCCGTGTCTACGTCTGTGGCTCCGCCGAGGAGCATACACGGCCGATTGCGGATCTGCTTGGAATTCCTCGTTTAACATTGGTGAACGGGTACGCCGTAGCTCTGTCCTCCAAACGTCGACATCGCTTTCGAACGGTGGCACAGTAGTTCGCTCGTCTGGCCAAATATCTAAGATGAATTTAAAAATTTCCGCCATTTTGCTTGGCTCCAGTATTGCCGGATCCAAGTTTCTGGCGGAATTTGGAGCTGGATAGAATAGGACAGGAGCGAGACATGTGGCTAAATTTGCAGTGTCCATCCGATTCACAACGCACTGATTGGTCACTCTTTTGAAATGGTCCAATAGGTAGAGTAGAATCTCCTATGTAAAAGAATGCAATAAATTATGGTGATCGGCTGGAATTTATCTGTGATTTCAGTGGGAATATACGTCACTCCCTGGCAAAAAATTATAAGCAGATTACACAAGCGAAACCGTAACTCGGTGAAGCTGCACGTGTCTGACGAATAGCTTGCAATCTACTGATTTGTGCCATGAATGTTGTTTTATCTCGTTTTCGACGGTTTGAACGTACAACAGCAATATTATCTAAGAACGAGTAAATTGTTTCTGTTTGCTTAGACAAAAGGATACCGAGTAGCCTGGGATCCCTCAGTCGGTAAAGCCATCAGCATCAACCAAGGACAAATGCATCTCGCGTATTAGCTTGCACTAAATTCTGCGGGCGAAAAGCTTTTGAGGCACTATCCATTTAGAAACAAGGACACTAAAGTGGCCAAGCAGTTTCTGTTTACCATCTTCGTAATTTCCTTTACAAAATGCATTAGCAGTATAAAATGAAGTGCCTTGAAAAGAGGCTAGAAGCAAGTATGTTTGGAAGTGTTCTTCCAAACATTTATAGACATATTTACCAACTTATTCCGCACTGGTGATCTACGAATGCTGCGACGAAATGGTTTGAGGGTTATATGCTTCTAGAACGCCATGTTACCGCTCCGGGAGAAACAGCGGACGGACCTATAGCAGTCGACACAACAAATCCAATGGGGTCTTGTCTAAAGACATAAACTTCTCTGTTTTTGAGTTATTAAAACACATTTTAAGACTCGCTGTTAGCATAAATTTGAGATACAAGAGTTACAAATACGGGTGTAGCAGTGTCAAAAAGTTACATATATTCATCGCATAACTGAGAAGAATAACATATATAGGAATGCAACAACCTGGATATAAACTGTGCCAGCGGACAGAATCATGAATTATGTAGCTAATATAGTCGCGTTGCTCTCTTCTACTCCTGCGGTCTTCACTGCTAATGTACCCTCTTTCGCACATTAACCTTACCTTCCTTATTAATGCCTTCTAATCAATGTACGCTGACTGTCTCGCGTATGTCCATTGTGTATGACCAGTGTCCCTGTCTCGATCCCAACCTCCATTCCGTCTAACAGCTTTCAACCTTCAAAGCTGTACGCAGATAGGACAACAGGCTAGTCTTGCGCACACCCGAGAGTCCCTCAGTAGCCGTGATTGTTGTCTATCCAAAACTCCACCACAGTAATCCAACGCACTGGTTAATTTGGATTTCGCAACTGATCTCGGAACCAAATGTTTCCTCTGTCGGTCGACTGACACATAAGCATCTGCAACTCACTTGACTGGTGCCGGCATTCAACTGCGTGGTAAAGCTGAGGTCTCGCTGCTCAACTGGTTCCAGTTTTCATTGCCGATTGTGTGCATTTCGACTACAAGTCTCATAAAAGATCAGCAGCGATTGTGGGAAGACGTGCAATTTGTTTGTGGTTTCCGCCTACGCTCCAAACGGCTGCAATTTTGCATCGAACATCCCGCATTATACCAGCATTTGAGTAGAGTAAAAAAAGTGTGATATCGTTATTCTTGTCGGCGAATTTAATGTACGGGTTGTCCATTGGTTACCAAGCCAACGTCATCTTGGTGGTTGTTATGCCCTTGTTGAGGGTCGCTTGATAACCGGCATCGACATGCGAGGACGCGTAAGAGATCGCCGATCAATTTGATTCATATACATTGACACCAGTCACGCTCAGGCTTGTACTGAGATCCGCATGAGTTGTGGTTAATCCTCGAAATGCATGCATCCTACGCTGGCTACGAAAATGCTAGCTAACCCATCCATACAATTGAATTACTCATCCTTATAATCAGATGCATTTCCAGCTCTCCAAATACCGATGTCACACATCATTGGATTTTCTTGCAGAAAGCTTTACCTTATTCCCGTCAATAATCTCGTTGGATCACTAGGGGTATTCTGAGAGGCTGAATCACTACTCTTTGTAATTGTTTGGCCTTCATCAAGTTACTCTAACTCATTCAAGCAGCCGCGTTCGCCGCAACCTTAGCCAGCTACACAAACAGAAGTTGCGTACCAATCGCGAAATTTGGTGGCCACAGCGCCCTTCAGAGAAGGAGAGAGTAACTCTGGAAAATTTCACAATGTTTTTCTGATCATCCGGACCACCGGATACAGAAGACCCGGCGTCAGTAAAGTTATTAACCAGGATAATTGAACACCAGCACTTGTTTGCGTAGGTGGAAGAACCGCTGTCCTGAGCACTTCCATTCTCAATTCAATTGGCTTCCTCCTACCACTCTTCTAATAAGCCGGCCAACTTGTGCGCCTCTGAAGGTTTCACTGGAACCACCCACCGAAGCAGATGTCTGCCTTGAGGTTCATCATATGAGGACAGTCAAATCTTCTGGCTAAGACGGACTTCCACAGGAGCTGCTCAAGTGCGGTGAGGAGGCAGTTTTCGGCCAGTTAACAGCTATGTTCTCCAAGCGTTGATGTGAAGAAAAGGTCTTATTATCTTAAGGCTAGTCGACTATTGTAACCAGTTTCAAGAAGAGTGCTCGTATCTCATGCGTTAAGCGAAGAGAAAACAGTTTAATATCCATCGCTTTCATCCATTCCACTTCGCAGGTTACCATTGATGCAAGAACATCACTCTTGTGAGGAACAGACTGTTTTTCGCGCTTCTTGTGGTGTGCTGACCATATGTTTACTCTCCGAAAGTCATTGGACAACACTATCTTTACCGCCAGCCTAACCTTTCACAATTTTGAACCCCCGAGCTGCGTACGATTCAGTCGATCGGCCTACTTTATGGTATTCTATGTATAAGGATAGGGTACCAGTAAAGTATACCGCCATCCTTCAAGCATTAGGCAGTAATGTCTCGGACGGAATGAAGATATACGTTAAGCTCTCTTCATCTTTCACAGTCACTATCGGCGTGAGATATAGATGCCTTATGTCCTGCTTTCTCTTACGTTGCGGTTGAAGATGTCCTGTTAAGCGCTCCGGAAGGTCTCGAGCGGTTTTCTGCAGAGCTTCTTCCAGGCAACCTCGCAACACAGTTGGGCTGTGCTAATTATATTGTTTTGCCCGGTCAGGACTCTCAGCTAATGGTGATCATTCTAACTCGCTTGATGATTGTAGCTACCACGTATGGCATGACGTCCGCGTCATCAAAATGCAAAGTCCTACTCCAGGATTGCATTTCACATACCCCACGGCTGATTCTTGAAGGGACGTAGCTTGAACAAGTAGACAGCTTTAACTACCTTCAGAGCTGTGTTTCTTCTAAGGACACCATCAGAAGAGAGATTTCTGTCCGTATTGACAAAGTCCAACCAGTCTTCGCTACTCTGAGACACCTGTGGCATCGTTGTGACGTGTCACTTGCAATAAAGAATAGGGTATAGAGTACCTATTTGGTACAGTACTGTCGTAAACAACTGAGTCTTGCTGTTCCGTATAAATTAGTTGCGTTCGATTTCAGACTTCGACAATGGTTGATTGCTGTGGACAGCACGTACGTGGTGAAAACAACACTTGTTCAACAACTATGTTAGGCATCGCGTCGTAGGTAATACTGGTCTCCGTCGCTAAGCTTATAGCGCGGCTTCGAATAAGATGGCTGGGTCACGTCCTACGCCGACCGATCAAGCCTTCCCTATGACGCGCTGTAATAGCTCGTGTAAGACCGTAATGGAATAAAACGCGCGGTACTCAAGCTATCACTTGGCGACAAACGTCTTCCACTCTATCTATTTTCGGTCTCGTATGTTCCTGGGCCAGGAAGTCAAAGAAGAATGAAACTGCTGTTCGGAATCCATTGCAGACAAAACGCGAAATTATGCACAAAGGAAAAATCCCATGAATTTGCGCACAGTATATACGGATCAATACGTTAATCATTAAACTGACAATAAAGGCAAAACAGTGTGTGAAAAACAAACGAAATTTTTGTCCATTTCTCACTCTGTGCTTGCAGCACCCATGATGCACATTCATTCCAAACTTTTCCATGCATATTTGATTTGAAAAGTGTCAGTTATGCTTCCCAGCGTTTGGCCCAGCTAGACAGTTACCAGACATCCAGGAAAGACGCTAAACAGTCTGCTCGATTAGTTGGAGCTTAACACGTGACCTCCTTTCGGACCCCATGGGATTCCAACTTCAGACCCTTCTATTGTGAAGTGCAGTATAACTTTGCATCAGTTGTCTGGTTGCAATCTGAGCTGGCCAATATTTGATGAACAAGTAGCCACAAATTTACTCAGCGAGATAAGGATAGGCCTAAACCTAAGGCCAGATCTGCAGATAAAAGCAGTTGTGACGCAACTTCAACATTTTTATTACGTAAGAACAGGTTCCCAGCCAAGCACAATCAAATAAACATCAGCAATTTAGAAGATTCTATACACACCTATGACCAGGTCTAATTCCAGCAGACAGATAGACTCATTATTGGTAGCAACAATGCCAATATTTCGCTGAAGAAATTGAAGAAACCTTATGAACTATACAGTGCTTGATAAACAAATGTAATCTTATTTTTACTCCATTGTAGTTTTTGAGGGCTACAAGTGGGCGGTCCACTCATACAAAGTAGCACAACAGATCTGAATGCCATTTAGCTTTCGATTGGTTAGAATAATTTATGCTGTTCTTGGAACAAAATACAACACAAAGCTAATGGAACGATTGAACAATGGTGTATCATGGGTTGAAATACAATGCCTAACAAGTCTCATGGGATGGAAATTTTGAAAACACAAAATTCCTATTAAAAGAAAAGTTATTCTTGTGGATTCCCTTATTACTCGTATTGTAACATCGGTAAATGATCCTAAATTTTTACATGAAAACGTTGAGATGTACTGGTCAGAATTTTGGAAATGCGTTTAGTTGCACCACCTAACGCCTGGTTAAAAAGTTATGAAGAGCAAAAGGGACAATGCTACGTCGAGTCATTTTTAACTGTCGTTAGATTGAAGCAAAGCGCATATAATTTGGGAGAGAGTTCCAC